ATACATATATTGACAGAGCACTGGAAAGGTAGATCTAGGGCCTTTTTAATCAATATTCCCAATGTTCTTCACCTGCTGTTCTTTACGTATTTAGTTATTCGCTCAGTTCAACCGGACCATTCTACGCGTATTTTGGTCAATACAATGCTGATCATTGGCCAAAGCAAATGTTGCTGGTATGGGTGTTGAGCTATTTCATTGATAGACTTATAAATCGGTTTTCGCGATGAGTTTTCTCATACGCTCGTACACACCAATGTGTGGCTGTGTGATAACTGCAAGGGGTCACACGAATGAGTATTGTATGATAATACAAAATATTGTGCCATGTCAATACATAGTTTGGTGTCCTATCATGATAAAATATCTGCAATATGTGGGCATAGTGCACGATTGCGCTGGCTATGCCTGTGTTCTGTATGGATATACGACGAGTAGAAATACATTAAAGTATAGCTCGTTCGATATTATTGCATGTCAGAGAACATGTACATTAGCTTCCGTTTCTATACAATGATATGGGCGAACTACGATTCGCCTCGGCGGCATATATTCTACCATCAATCGAGGCAAGAGTAACTGGGACTTCAAAAACTATAATTCAAGGTAAACGTCTCAAACGGTTTCCCGCGACAGTAGATCTATGTGTGAATAAAGCAATGCGAGAGTGCAATTGTAGATCTATATAAGAGATCATATAGCAGATAATCAATCAGTCTATTTTAAGGTATGTATATGTACATGTACATATCTGATATCTGCACCGTGTCATACATTCCTACAGTTTCAAAACGGTTTGATTTTCGGACCTTGGTCGATATACGAACACGCATACAGATACTACATTATATTCCTTCCGAAAGAACGCTGTCATATTCAGATTGATTTTCTGGTTGTAATCCGGCCATCTGTATCCATGTGGATGCGTCGCAGTTTGCATTTGGGGCCTACACGTTGTATATACCTACCCGTTTCAGTATTTATATTGTGGTTTCGATTCAACATTGAGTGGCTGACTCTTCCTAATCCGAGCCTAATATCGTCTCTCAATCAGTCTGTACGTCTGTTGAGGAGCCGACAGCACCTGAGCATCGCACTTTAGAGGATCTCCATATCAAAATTTATCGGACGATATGTAGTGCTATGTATTCCTAATTTAGATGTTACATACCAATTCTTTTATTGAAATTTTTGTCACGCGGATATAAAGAAATTACCACGTATCCGGTTTGAATAACACACTCTTTGCAGTCTAATGCAATTATGAATTAAACACGTCTGAGAATATTACTCTTTTACTATTGGAGGAAGACTAACTGTGAACAGCTGTGAGTTGTGAGTTGTGAGTGCCTGTGAGTTGTGAGCATTCTTGAATCTAGATTTAGGCGTTTTCTTTTTGTATATAGCAACCTTTATTTTGGTTGGCTTAAAAACCGAGTGTTCTTTTACTGACTTAATTACACTAATGGCACCTGTGCCTTTAAGTCTGTAAAGTGGGATTGGCTATAGGGTGGGAGTCTTTAAAAAAGGACTGATATACGAATACATGAACGTATTTCTATTGGTCAAGTACGCGTAGTAAGTTGCAATGACCATTTATGTATATATTTACATAAACACAATCTCCGTCGGTTTGCCTCCGTGCAGTGCTTTCACCCAATAAACGTCGAACGCAAACGCAAAAATGAATGAAATTTATTTTGTGTATAAATACGGTTTTTAAACCGATAGCGTAAACGTTTAACTTCAACGCAATAACAAATGATTTTAAAAAACGTATATTGGCCTATGAAGATTTAAATTCATTAGCCAACCCAAGGTCACATATCAAACATCTTGAAGGTACTAATCGCGTGATAAAGCTCAAAGGACAGCGCAGACGATTCAGTGTTACACCTTTGAATATTGATGTGGAGGTGCATATAACCAATATAGTCTACGACACTGTGAACAACAATTGTTTTTTAACGAAACAATTGACACCTACTTTAATTTCTGTAATTTAATCTACTTCATATCTTGAAATGACTATGGGACCCGCTGGTAAGGCTGGGATGGCTAACATCCTGCAAGGATTGTCCTTCGCTGTACAACTTATAATCCTCGTATTGCTTTTAAGGAAACCCACGACGGAAGTAATCACCTCCATCGATTTGTCCGGTAAGAATAATGTAACTGATATCTTATTTGAAGCGGTTCAATGGTTTTAACATAAACACAGAATACAAACCTAAAGGGCTGGATATGATCTTGATTGAATTCTATACATGCATGTTTATAACTATAGTTAGAATTACACACACACACACACACACACACACACACACAC